GCGTGTTCCAAGGGGGAGAGACGGAAAGAGGGGGGATTATGCTTTAACCCCCCCCAGTCCCCAAGGGCACTCTAAGACACCCAGGCGGAGACCCCCCCTCAATAACACACCCAGTCATCGTCTATCCTGGCTTGAAAAGATGGTCCTCGGCCACATTAGCGCCCCTCATCAAGGCCATAGGGCGCTCCTCTCCCCGCCAAGAGCCAGCCGGAAGTCTTTGCGGTTGCTGCCGTCGTCGCCATCCCCCACTGCCATACAGAAATCCCGGCAGCGTCCCTGAGGTTTTTCCAGGGAACCGACAGCCCCGACAGCACCTCAACAAAGCCAGGGCCTGGGGCAATGTCCACGTGGTAGGCGCCCCCAGCGCAATGCCACTGCCGCCACTCCCACTCCCAGCGAGCTTCAGCTGGAGGGGAAAAACACCGCCCCGCCGCCTCTCAGCTGTTCCGCGGCTTCCGAGCCTTGCCGACGCTGTGCTCTCTGCTCCCACCACGATGTTCAAGAGGGAGCAGAAAGCCATCCCCCAAGTGGGAGGAAGTTCCCCCCAACTGGACCAGGGTCGCCAGGTCTTCAAGGCGACCTTCAAAGGGTCCCAAAAGGTAGGTCAGTGCCCATCCTCACGCCACGATCTCAGCTAGTGCCGCCATCTTGCGCATGCGAGCTTGCAGAGTTTTAATTGGAGTATATGCTCCTAACCAACAGCAAGAAAAATTTTATAAGCTTTTGCATACCAAAATAATACAATGGGATTATAAATCGTGTATATTAATGGGTGACGGAATGGAGTATTGGATACCCAAAAGGACAAAAAAGGATTACTTCAAAATACCCAAAATCGTGTAAGATTGCCTAAATCTTTTTTTGATATAATGGATGATATGGAGTTGAGAGATATCTGGCGGGAACAAAATGTTGAAGAAAAGGATTTTACTTTTTTTTCTGATAGACATCAATCCTTTTCTAGGATTGATTTCATATTAATTACTAATGATTTCTTTTCTAGGGTAAAGAAGACAAAGATATGTTCAAGAATTTTATCTGATCATAGTCCAGTGTGGATGGAATTAGAGCAGGAAAAGGGAGCTAGAAGGTCTTGGAGGCTAAATGAAAATTTGTTTAGATATGAGGAAAATGTGAAAGAATGTAAAAAACAAATGAAAGATTTTTTTGCTATGAATATGCATAAGGGTACACCTATGGAAATGGTTTGGGATGCAAGTAAAGCATATATGAGAGGAACCTTAATATATTTGAATAATAAATACAGACATAGACAAGAAAAGAAATGGAGGGACTTAGAAGAGGAAATAAAAAAGAAAGAGCAGGCACTTATATTAAATCCAACAGATAAGAAAATAAAGGAAACAATACATTTGTTGCGAGGGCAGTTTAATATGTTGATGGCAGACCAAGTGGCAACTAACTTACAATATGCTAAACGTAACACTTTTTGTAATGCAAATAAACCAGATAGATGGTTAGCCTACTTGTTAAGGAAAAAACAAAAGCTATGTACTATAGAAAAAATAGAATACAAAGGTAAAGAGGTATATCAACAAAATATGATTTAAAAAGCTTTTTTAGAATTCTATACAAAGTTATATGCTAGTGATACAATTCAAGGCAAAGATATAGACAGGTATTTATAGGAGGAGAATATCCCGGTAATTACACCAGAGCAAAGGGAAGGATTGAACCAACCAATAACTTTAGAAGAAATTATTTTAGCAATTAAACAATTAAAGGGGGATAAAGCTCCAGGCACAGATGGACTGACAGCTGTTTATTATAAAAATTTGCAGTTAGAAATGGTAGAACCACTTAAGGAATTATTTTGCAAGATTCAAGCCAGAGGAGATGTACCCCCTTCTTAGAGAACAGCTTTTATTTCATTGATTCCAAAGGAGGATCAAGACCGTAGTCAACCCAAGAATTATAGGCCAATATCGCTTTTAAATACTGATTATAAGATTTTTGCTAAAATATTAGCAAATAGGTTAATGGTAATCATGCAACAAATGATTCATAATGACCAATCTGGATTTATAGGTGGGAGACAAATGAAATGTAATGTAAGACAAATTGTAAATTTATTGGAATATTTGGAAAGGAACAACCAAGTCCCTGCAGTGCTTATCTTTTTGGATGCAGAGAAGGCATTTGATCGATTGAATTGGCAATTTTTATTGAAAATAATAGAAAAGATGCAGTTTGGAGAATACTTTACACAATCCATTAGAGCACTATATCAGAGACAAACAGCACAAATAATAATTAATGGTGGTTTAACAGAAACTTTTAAAATTGAAAAAGGAACGAGACAGGGATGCCCTCTATCACCATTATTGTTTATTTTAATTTTGGAACCTTTATTGAATAAAATACGAGGGTCAAATAAAATAAAGGGAATTAAAATTAGACATCATGATTATAGATTAAGAGCATTTGCAGATGACTTGGTTGTTACTTTAACTCAACCAGTACAATCAGCTATAGGTTTAATGGATATAATTAGCCAATATGGACAAATATCTGGATTTAAAATAAATAAACAAAAAGCAAAGATAATAACTAAAACATGACGGTAAAGCAAAAAGAAGAACTAGAAAGACTAACAGGATTTGAAATAGTAAAAAAGGTTAAATATTTAGGGGTATATATGACAGCCTCAAATGTAAAATTATATAAAAATAATTATGAATTGTTATGGCAAAAAATACAGAAAGAGATGGAGGATTGGGGAAAACTACAATTATCTCTGTTGGGAAGAATAGCAGCAATAAAAATGAATGTTCTACCTAGGTTTCTATTTTTGTTCCAAATGATACCAATACTCAAGAAAGATGAAAATCTGAGGGGACGGCAGAAGGGTATTAATAATTTTGCTTGGGCAGGGAAAAGACAGAGAATAAAGTTAAAAATAATGCAAGATATACGTGAAAGAGGAGGTCTTAAAATGCCTAATCTAAGATTATACTATGAAGCAGCTGTCCTAACAATAATTAGTGATTGGATTAATTCAACAGAAGAAAGAATATTGAACATTGAAGGATATGATTTGTTATATGGCTGGCATACTTACTTATTATATGACAAAAAGGTGGATAAGACCTTTAAAAGCCATGTATTAAGGAATGCCTTGCTATGAGTTTGGAAAAAGTATCAATATAAGTTAAATTATAAGATTCCTTTTTGGGCAATACCCGGACATGCAATAGAGAATATAAGTGTAGAACAAAAGCAAGAGGTGATTACTTATAAAGAGCTTCTTAAAATGGAAGGGGATATATTGCAGTTAAAATCTTTAAATGCATTAAAAGAAGAAAGAATAATTCAAACTTGGTTTCAGTATGGTCAGTTGCAAGCTAGATGGAAAGAAGATCAGAGAATCATGCAGAATGAGGAAAATTTGGTAAAACAAATTAGAGACCAAGGTCAAATGCATATAAAAAGATTATATAATGTATTGATAGAAATAGATTCCGAAACGGAATTAGTTAAGGATTTATGATAAAATGGGCACAAAACATTCAGGAACCAATAATGATGGAAACTTGGGAAAAAATATGGGTAAGAAATGTAAAATTTACGCAAGCACAAAATTTGAGAGAAATTTTTTATAAAATGTTCTATAGATGGCATTCAGATCCTAAAAAGTTAGCTTGTATGTATCCGAATTTACAATCTAAGTGTTGGAGATGTGATTGTGAAGATGCCACTTATTATCATATATGGTGGACTTGTAAAAAAGTTAAAGCATTTTGGATTAAAATATGGTGGATTATCCAAAATATTCTTAAAAAGAAGATAAAGTTTACACAATTGTTTTTGCTGGGTATAATTACAGATTGTACAGTTATAGAGACTAAATTGATTTTAAATTTAATAACTGCAGCTAGACTTTTGGTGCCGCAATATTGGAAGAAGGAAGATTTGCCTACCATTGAAGAATGGACATTAAAAGTAGCGAATCAGGCAGAAATGGCGAAGATTTCAACATTTTTGAAAGATCACTCACAAGAAAGATATATATCGGAATGGAGAAGATGGATTGATTATATTCAAAACAAATATCAGACTAAAAAGTATCAAATAGCTTATGAATGAATAAAAAAATTAAGAGTATTTATATTTAGTTAATAAAAGGGGAGTTAAAGTGTGAAGGGGGGATAGGAATCCTTAGTTAATTAGCTTAGTTTAGCATATGATTGTTAATTGTTATACCCTGTATTTTGTTCTGGGAAGTCCGGGGGGGTGGGGGGGTGTAAGGAAGGGAGGGGGGTAGGGGGACTTGTAAAAAATTTTTTTTTCTTTCTTTTTGTAAAACTCTTTAATAATAATAAAAAAGAAACTATCTACTTATTGAAGATATGAACACTGACTGTGGGTAGGATGACAACTGCCAGGGAATAAATATTTAACAGTAGATTTCTTGTTTCTTCTCCTTTCAAAATTTGTTTGAAATATTATAAGTACATTCTTAGAAGTACACAACTCTTGTAAATGTTTAGACAAAATATGTTTCAATGAATCCATATGTTAACAAAAGCTGGCAGAATCTCTACTTATTTAAGAGTAAGTAAATCTACTCTATCAATAGTTAAATAGATAAATATTTCAATTTTTATTTATTGATTAGCCCTTTGGGCCATATCAAGTGCAGAATTACAAAGACAAATCATTACAAAGGTTTGGTAAAACAAATTAAGTAAGATTGGAATAACTCGCAATTAAAATACAATTAGAATAAAATACGATCTTGCTGGTTTTAATAGTTCAGTATTTGTATAATTTTTTATATAATAATTCCTGGAACAAACAAGGAAAGTCATAGTTTTCAGTTCTGTAATGTTGGAGAGTGAGGCCTTTTGATGATATAGTTTCTGTTTTCCTGTGTAACTGCATAGTCTTCTTTTCCCACCACATGAGCTGCATAACTAAATTAATTCTACTGTTCTTATTTCCTTTGTTGGTTTTTGTCCTGTGGTTTCTCTTTCTAGATATACCATGGTGCTCACCTATCAAGGTAAAATATGGTTATGCAAATTGCAGAAGTCCCCAGGAAGGGTATTACAGAAATGTCTTGGGGACCACATGTGACATTCATTGTCAGAAAGGTTATGGACTGAATGGTCCTGAGCATCTTATTTGCCAGTCAAACAAACGTTGGTCTGGGAAAGTTCTCTGCAAACGTAAGTGGCTCATTTTTTCCTGAAGAATTGCTTTCAACTTCTTTGCTTTGATCCTGTTACTCTTGACCATATATAATTGAATTTTAGTGGAGTTCTTAGTTTAGTTAGTGTTTTAGCAAAATAAAAATTAGTTATGGAATTCTTTGCTCATACAGAAGAAACAGTAACTTCAGCATTGGAGGTTTTTCTATGCTGGTTAAACAGTTGACAGTTTTCAGTTTTATACAACAAAATACTTTTTTTTAGTCTTCCTATATATTCCAAACAGAAGAATTTATGTGAGGTTTTTTAATTGCATTGGCAATATTTGTTGTAATTAATTTCATTTATGTCCCTATATGGTTATATAGGCTGCTTTAAATATATGCATTGGGTGGGGGGGGAGAGCTGACATCGCAGGAAGAATGGTGAACTTTTACAGGGCTCTGTGTTAAGCCGCGGTATTCTACCTGACAGGAGGTCCAATTGGACTCAATTGGATCCAAGCCACCTTGGAGAGGTGGTGGAGGTAGAGGGGGAAGTTTCGCTGACCACAGGGAGCCTGCAAACTCACTATTTGATCCCGGAAAACTCCTCATCCTGATGGGGAATGAGGCCAGACCGAGGCTGTGACAGCTCCGATGAAAGAGCAATAAAGGAGATGAGCGGAAAATAGTGTGTGTGACCTGGGTGAGCTATTCTTAATTTCCAACTCCTGTTGAGGAATTTACCCCCCAAATTAATATCTTTCTGAAAACGAGACTCTAAAAGAGGAGGTGGTTTTTATTCACTCCTCTAGAATGGTGGCGACTAAATACATGAGCTGCTGACAGACCTGAGCAAAGGAGAAGAAAGCACTTTGTAAAAATAGACCTTTAACGGATTGGAATTCCAAGTGTTTTGCTTGTGGATACTTTGCCAGCTTTATGGATATTTAAAATACCATTTGATATATAATACATATTGTAATCCTGGAAAACAAACTTTGCAAAAGTGAAAGTTGGATTCACTTGGGTGAATGGGTGAAAGTGGAGAAATAGAGTAAGGGTCCCACCTGCTGTTTGAACCGGTCAAGCAAAGGGAGAAGACCCTGAATAGTCTAATGCAATACAAAAGGCTTGGGTTCCTTGGAACTGAACTGAGCTGATAAAATTAATTGGATGTCTGCAAATTGCTTACACTGGATACTTAAAAACAGATGGGGGAGACATAGAAATTTGTCCTTGAGATCATTTGACTCTTTGTGGATTACAAATACATTGGACAGAGTGAAATTTGGACTCAACTTGAAGCTTTTTGAACTGCTGAATAGAGGTGATGTGCAACTAATAGGTGTGAGTTTTTTTGTGGGCCTTGCAGATTACAAATACCATTTCCTACAAGAAAAATAAGTGAATTAAGAGGGATATTGAAGAGACTATCTGGACATTCTAGATACAATTTGTGTGGAATTTAGGATTAAAATTAAAGTTAGAAGATAGTGAAATTAGTTGAGGTTTGAAAGGGAGGGGAAAAATTGTGGGGGAAAGAGTATTACTGGTTAATATTAAAAAGGGCACAAAGAGGGAGTGGAGAATCTGGGAGAGGCTTGAAGAGTGGTGGGGCACTTTATCTAAAGTTGCTGATATATTTATCAATTTATAAAAATGTCAAATTCAAACCTATCTAAATTAGGGGGGGAAACTGGATTGGCACCATCATCTGCCCCATCATCCACCCCATCATCAGCAATGTCAAGCCTTTCAAGTCAAAGGTCAATAGAAAGCTTAATTCAACAGGAAAAAATGAATACAATTCAAAAAGATATGCAAACATTGTTCCAATCGCTGTTTCTCTTTGTTTCTGACCATCCATGCTGCACCATGTAAAAGCAAGGCAGCAGTAAAATTATTTCCTGTTCAGAGCTCAGTTTCTTTATGAAAAATCACTGACTTTTTGCTTCTGCATGATGCAAATATCTCATTTCCACAGAGAATTACAAAAAATACCTTTCAGAACCCTCAGCATATCTCTGCCCCCATGCTCCAGTTTAATCCAGATTTGCTCTAGATATAGTTAAGCATAAATAAGCAACCTTCAGGAGTGCAAGCAAAATGAGGAAGTCACCTGCTATGAGTGAAGCAGTGGTGGGTTGCTCCCGGTTCGCACCGGTTCATGCGAACCGTTGGCGGAAATTTGGCCAGGGTCACAGAACCAGTAACGGTGGCCAGCTGGCCACGCCCTTGAACCAGTTCCCCCAGTTGCCGGTCGCTTGCCCCAGCCGCCATGCTCATTGCCACCATGTTCTTCATGTATGCGCATCCCATTACCTTGCAAGTCCAATGGGATGCACATGCGCGAGGAACATGGTGGCAACAGCAGCAGCTTTTTCTGCCAGTATGTTTTGGCGGCCTGCAGAGAAAGCGGCTGGCAAAGAAGCCTTTTCGGAGGCTTTTTTGCCAGCAGTTGCAGCTGGCTGGGGGCTGCCGAAAACTACAGTCAGCTTGCCTTCTGGACTGTGGACCAGCCATGGAATGTAAGCACCCTAAATAAGGAGGCGGTGGTGGGGGAGGAAGGCGGGCAAGCGGGCCTAGCCACTGGGATTTCCAGGACACCCCTCCACTGCCCCCGTGCCACCGATGCCTGCAGTGGCAAAAGCCATGCAGGAAAAGTCCCGGGGAGTTCCGGGACTCCCTGCCACCGCTGCTGTCACCAGCGATGCCTGCAGTGGCAAAAGCCATGCAGGAAAAGTCCCGGGGAGTTCCAGAACTCCCTGCTGCCGCTGCCGTCACCAATGCCTGCAGTGGCAAAAGCCACGCAGGAAATGTTTCAGGGCACTGAAGCTCCCATTTCGACCCCTGTGCTGCTGCTGCTGCTGCCGCCGCCGCAGCCAGGCATTTTCTCTTGGGCCTCCCAGTCTCACTCTCCTAGACTTTGCCTCCCCCCCAATGCCCAGCTGAGCCGCACGATCATCAGAGGCTTTTATTCTTTTAAATGACTCTGACGATCCAAGCTCTGACGATCCCAGCTGAGTTGACTGATCGTCAGTGGGTTTTTTAAAAACCCTCTGCCGATCAGGCAACTCAGCTGGGATCGTCAGAGCCATTTAAAAGAAAAAAACTTTTTTTCTTTTAAAGTTTTTTTCTTTTAAATGCCTCTGATGATCCAGCAACTCAGCTGGGATTGTCAGAACCTTTTGAAAGCATTTTTTATGCTTTCATAAATGGTTTTAAAAGTAAAAAAAAAAAATTGGCCACGCCCACCCAGTCACATTACCCCCCTCCCCCCCACCAAGCCATGCCGACAGAACCGGTAGTAACAAATTTTAGATTTCACCACTGAGGGAGGGAGAGAGAGAGTGAAAGAAAGAAAGAGAGAGAGAGAAAAAGAGACAAAGAAAATGAGAGAAAGAGAAAAAAGAAGAAGGGAGAGACAAGAAAGAAAAAGAAAGATACAAAGAAAGAAAGAGAAAGGAAGAAGGAAAGGAAGGAACAGAGGGAAAAAAGAAAGAATGAAAGAAAAAGAGACATATAAAAAACAAAGAAAGAGAAAGAAATGAAGGAAGGGAGAGATGAAGAAAGAGAGAGAAAGAGAGAAAGAAAGAAAGAAAGAAGGAAAGAGGAAGGGAGAGGGAAAAAAGAAAGAATGAAAGAAAAAGAGGCATAGAAAAAACAAAGAAAGGAAGGAAGGAAGGAAGGAAGGGAGAGACAAAGAAAGAGAGAGAGAGAAAAAGAAAGAAGGGAAGAGGAAGGGAGAGAGGGGAAAAAGAAAGAATGAAAGAAAGAGACATAGAAAAAACAAAGGAAGAGAAAGGAAGGAAGGAAGGGAAAGACAAAGAAAGAGAGAGAAAGAGAAAGAAAGAAGGAAAGAGGAAGGGAGAGAGGGAAAAAAGAAAGAATGAAAGAAAAAGAGACAGAAAAAACAAAGAAAGAGAAAGGAGGGAAGGAAGGGAGAGACAAAAAGAAAGAAAGAAAGAAAGAAAGAAAGAAAGAGAAGAAAGAAAGAAAGAAAGAAAGAGAAAGAAGGAAAGAGGAAGGAGAGAGAGAGAAAAAAGAAAGAAAAAAGAGACAAAGAAAAAAACAAAGGAAGAAAGGGAGAGACAAAGAAAGAAAGAAGGAAGGAAGGAAAGAGGAAGGGAGAGAGAGAAAAAAGAAAGAATGAAAGAAAAAGAGACAAAGAAAAAACAAAGGAAGAGAAAGAAAGGAAGGAAGGGAGAGACAAGAAAGAGAGAGGAAGGGAGGGAGGGAGGAGAGAGAAAAAGAAAGAAAGAAAGAAAGAAAGAAAGAAAGAAAGAAAGAAAGAAAGAAAGAAAGAAAGAAAGAAAGAAAGAAGAGGAAGGAACACAAACCCTGGCACTAGACGTGGCTTCAGAAGACGCTTTGAAACAGGACAGCGATCTAGGGCTGGAAGGGACCTTAGAGACCATCTAGTCCAACCCCCTGCTCCAGCAGGAAACCTTACTGGATTATTTTGGTGCCTCTAACAGAAAAGAAAATTGTCAGAAAGGAGAAGGAGTTTACTAGGACAAGGCTGCCATGCAGAGAAAGGCAGAGATAGTCCTTGATTTATGACCAGAATTGAGCCCAAAATTTTGGTTGCTAAGCAAGAGCGTTGTTAAGTGAGTTTCACCACATTTTACTCAATCCATGATCTCTCCTGGCTCTAACAGTCATGTGCAGGCTAGGGAAGTAAATCTGAAGGCACGTGTAATGTACAGAAGTTATAGTTAAATGTGTGGCAGAAAGTGGACTCTGGGTGTGTTTTTCCAAATGTAGTAAGTGAGGTTGAATATGTATAGTTTTAGAAGAGATGTGTGCATGTGTATACACACATACAGTATATATAGTAAATAATGTATCTTTTTGTGTGCCTATACACTATACTATGTAATATGTACTGTATATACACATATGGCATATGTGCATAGGATTAAATAGTATATTTTGGATGTTCAGTAGTAGTAAATAAATAGACAGGGAAATTATTTCTCATTGAGGCCTTTGAGGCGAGGAGAGGCCAGGCACCCTAACCATAACCCTTGA